AGTGCTCATAATTGCCGCGGTGATCTGAGCGGGCTCCATGATCCCAGTGCTAGCTATGGCGTCTGGTCTGAAAAAAGGCGCGAAAGTAGTATCTGACGGACCAGGGGAGGGAGGGAGGGGCGAGTGACGACATGGCGTACAGGTACAGGGAATTAAAATCAAGAAAGGTGGCTTTGCATCAGGGAGAAACACAAACAACTGTCACACAGAATGCCCCCCCCACCCCAAAGATTGAACGCAAAAGCCAGGGTTTAACAGGAGGGAGGGAGGGGGGAAGCAAATGAATACAGAATAAATCTATTTTTTACATCTTAAGACGACGGTGCAGCATGACTGATAGCCCTCGGCATTTTCTGGGTGCTTGGCAGCAAATACTGGGCGCTTGGCAGTAAGCCTTCAGGTCTATTGCACCATCTGATACCCACTGCAATATGACAATGATGGATACCAATCGTAATATGCTATCTACTGCCCAAAAGGCAAGGGGTTGCTGCTGTGTAGCAATCTAACCCCACGTCTGCCAGCCCCATGTCTGCCAGCACCCAGATCGCCATCGGCCTCTTCTGGGTGCTTAGCAGACAATACTGGGCACTTGGCAGAAAATAGCATACTACGACTGATAACCATCATTGTCTGCCCGGGTGCCCATGATTGACAGCCACTGCAGTACGACGACGACGGATACCAGTCGTAATAAACCATCTTCTACCAAAAGACAAGGGGCTGGTGCAATGCAGCCCTACGGCTGCCAGCCCCACAGCTGCCCGCACCCAGATCGCCAATGAAGGCTACCAGTCATGCTGCACCTTCTACCGCCAAAAGGCAGTTAGCTGCTGCTGCTGTGTAGCAATGCAGTCCCATGTCTGCCGGCACCTAGATGACATATGGTGACGGTGAGCTGAGCTGAGCGGGCTCCATGCTTGCCATGGTATGTTGTCTGCACGGGTAACCCAGGTAAAAAGGCGCGAATCTATTGTCTGCCGTTGCTGTGACGTAGGGGGAGGGACCTGACGACATGAACCCAGAACCCCCCGCGGCACTGTTTTGCATCATCCGGGCATTGGGATCTCAACCCATAATTCCAATGGGCGGCGGAGACTGCGGGAACTGTGGGATAGCTACCAAAGTGCAATGCGCCGAAAGTCGACGCTAGCCTCGGTACTGTGGACGCGGTCCGCCGAACTAATGCACTTAGAGCATTTTATGTGGGGACACACACAATCGGCTGTATACAACCGATTTCTATAAAACCGGCTTCTATTTATTCGATCTAATTTCGTAGTGTAGACATACCCTTAGGCTTTTGGTTCTCTGGGACAGGCCTGAGTCTTGATAGTGATTGGGACTCCTGACTACTACCATAATACAAATAAATAAAAATATGTACAAATAAATGTTGTTTAATTATTCATATCTCATCGACAATTTGTCTGAGGGCCCGCAAGAGGCCCCTGATTGGAGTCATTGTCTGAGGAGCTCTGTGGAGGGGTTTCTGTAGTGGGTCCACGCAGGATGGTATGGATGGCAATGATAGGGATAGGCAAAAGGATGGGTCAGGGAACATACATATTCTATGTTGCTATTCTAATTCACATGCTGAATTAATGGCCACAGTGTGTTTGCATGGCTATGCTGCAGCCCTGTGCCCCAGCCCCATGTTGGGAGCTTGCATTTTGCTTTTTCAAAGTCCTGTGCATTTCATCTACATAAAACTCTGATTTCTCCCCTTCCCCCCTTCCCCCCCTCCCCCCCGACACTAGCTTGAAGTGATGCATATGGCCTAGTAAGGTCTTTTCTACACTGGAGTAAGTTTTATCCATCCGTGTGTAACCTACTACATTGGCTAGTCTCTTCAGCTGACTGGACGTATTAAGTTAGTTTTTAAGTGTCGCTATATCCTGTCTCAAGTTGGATCATTTATAAACAATCCTGTTTATCTCCCTGAAACACTGTTACCAAAAAGAAAAAAAAAATGTACAATAGACTTAATTTATGCTTTCCTAGCAAAAGCTTCATTTGTGGCCACAAACTTGATAATTACATGCATAAGTATATTTTAAATATGAAACTCCTGATCACTTCATGAGTATACACAAATTCATACAGAAGTTGTGTATGAAAAAATCAGTTTTGCAAATTTGGCCCTGTAACAGCAGGCAATTTCTGCAAAAGCACTGATTTAACTGTAACATTTTTGAAGAAACATAGTTTCTTCATAAAATGATAATCATGACTGTTCAGAAAATATATTCCTGAACCAAACACCCTATATTTCCCCTCTTCCCACTGAATCTGTATTCCCCTCTTCCATGGTGATGATTCCCTCCTTTCTCCCCACCCACACTGATTATTAGAATGTACTGTCATAAAGCTTGCCACGTATTTTTAATAACTGTTCTATTTATAACCTGACCAGACTTTTAAAAAGTGCTGCCCATATCAGTTAACAATGCTTCTTTTTACTGTCTTCAATGTGTCACCTCAGTACAGGCTCTACAATACAGAGACTATGTCACCATAGCTATGCAGGCATAACCCTATAATGTTGACGTGGCCTGGTTTGATGGAAATGGTTTTTCCATTGGTGTAGGAAAACCACCTCCCTGGAATGGAAACATTTTTCCATTCCAATATAGCTGTGTCTATAGTGGGGACTAGGTGAACATTATTAAGTCGATCGGGAGGTGATTTTCTCACACCTCTGACCAGTTTAGCTATGTCAACCTAAGTGTAGACACAAGCCTTAGTCTGTGATAGAAGTTAGCTAAAACCATTACTGAAAACATTCAAATTATAAATCTGAATGAAACATAACTAAATTTTGTGGACAGGCATTTTATTCAAATAACTCTTCAGCATTCTAGACGACTCAAAACTGCATGGCGCTCTGGACAAAGGGGAGAATATTTGCGAAGTATGGTGGCAGCTGTAACAAGGTGCTATAATATGAAGAACACCTAGTTCTTCTTTTTAATGAATACATTCCCCTATTTTTTTTGCTATTGTGCAGCTAGAATTTTCACATTTTCCCATCTGAAGAGACTACTTTCCCTATGCGAATAAAGTTTCTGGTCAGACACTTCAATTTAGTACATTTCCAGAAGGTTCACTGACATACATCTACTCACTAATTTGCAAGAGCTGACATCATGCATTAAAAAGTAAGTAGTCCATGAAGTTTGTATTTAATTAACTTGCACAATTTTTTTATTCTGTTTTCAGTTGTTTCATGGACTAAAAACATTAAATTGTCACTAAATATTCATGTTTTTTTTCCCAAGTCAATACTTTTTACATTATTGACCCTGACATTAAAAATAAAAATCAAACTTTGTTTTTAATTTGCAGTGGACAGTGTATTTTATCACTTCTTCATACACTCATTCACTAACTGATTGTAAGCACTGTCATTGCATCTTCCATGCCAAGAAAAATTGATATTTTTCTTTTAAGAATGAAGTTGAACCAACAACAAAAAGTTTAACTATCTCATCATAAGTAAGGCTTTGTCATGGAGGTCGCGGAAGTCGTGAGGTACCCCCGCCGCCTGAGGCAACGTCCCCTAAGCTCCCAGCCACCGCAGGCAGGGGGGTACCCCAGCAGCAGCACTGCCACCGCAGCAGGGGACACTGGCAGCAACTTTGCCACCAGGGCGGGGTGGATTCCCGCAGCTCCCCCCCACTAGGGAGGCAGGGGGACCCTGCAGCTCTGAGCCCCCCTGAGCTCCCAGCCACTCAGCATCTGCCCAGTCCCTTCCCATTGTATCATGGATAATTTTAGTAAAAGTCAGG